TGTGGCCTCTCCAGCCCTGGCCCTCTCAGTGTTCTTTCTTGTGTAGTGTTCAGCTTGTGGAAAGGACTTCGCTCACCTGTTCCTATGGAGCAAGTCCCCTAACCTGTCCACCTACTACTTCATCCCCAGCTAGAAAGGTCCTTGTTTTTTAATGTCATACTTCAAGGCTTGCTTATTCTGCTCAGGTTAGCAACAAAAGCAAATAGCTGTAACTTCTCTGGCCCTAAACCTCATTTTCCTTGTGAAAGATTTTAATCAGAAATACAATGCAGTAAATTACATCTTCTTTCAGCAATTTAGTTTTTAACCTTGTTGTTCAAACCAACTTCTGTTCTTGAGGTTAATGTTGTTGCCAGAGGTGTCAAATGAATATTGGAAATTTTACAGAGAAGAAGACAAAAGACAACAAATAAGTACAGAGGAGAATAGAACCAAGGGTTGATTGAAGGCTAGAGATAATTTGACTGCGCCATGAAAATAGCAAATACAAAATGAATTAGACTTTTTGCATCAGAAATGTCTAACAAGCAGCTTGTTAGTTAAATAAGGCTCTCGGTAAAAATCTGTTCTTCAAATATAACTCCAAACACTTCGAAGATTCACCATTTAGTTAAAGTGAGGAAACACTTCCCTTGGGGTTGCTACCTTAGTATAGTGACAGCAGGCAGGCAGCTTGGAAACAGGCGGTATTCTCCAGAAAACAGAAAAAGAGACATTTGTGAGGGATGATCTTCCCCACATGTGTTTCTAAAGTCACACTGGACAAGCCATCTAAGTTCAACTTACCTTGTTCTAAGCAAGCATGGCAAGGAGATGTTCTTGTTAAAGATTTAAGGAAGCAAGGCGTCGCATCCATGTCCTATAGCAATCCAGCAAAGATGAAAAGCATGCAGTTCCTGGCATTGAGAGTGCATAAGCACAAAGCGCGTGCGCGCGCACACACACACACACACAAACACACACACACACACATGATTGTACTGGGCATATATCTGCTGGTGCAGAGCCAGCTTAGGTACAGTCCAGACCATATCTTCTATCATCTGACTTAAAGACTCTGAAGATTTCTCTATGATATTGAATGGAGATGGTTTAGGGGAGGAACATGGATCCTTAAAGGACATGAATTTGAGGTTAAGCTAGTTTGGAGTTTTATTTTGTTCATTTTGCTTTGTTGTGATACTGAGTATTGAAGCCAGAGCCTTATACATGTTACCACTGAGGTATACCCTCATCTTGTTTAGATATTTTTTTTTAAATAAGACCACACTGTATTGACAAGGCTGATCTTCAACTCCATATGTAGCCCAAACAGGTCTTGTATGTTGTGATCTTCTGGCCTCAGCCTCCTGAGTAGCTGGGATTAGAGGCCTGTGTTAACAGGCCGACCCTGAAGGGAATTTTGATATGACAAGCTTAACGTCCCAAGGGCAAGTCAAGTGGTTATGTCTATATTAGATACAATTGGAGAAATCCGGGTACTCTCTGGGATACAAAACGGGATGATACCACAATGGGAATAAACAAATGTATGCAAAATAGCGTAGGGCTTATCAAAGGTATGTCATGACCATGTACACCTCGCTACTCAACCAGAGTCTTGAAAATACATGGGTTTCACAGGTTGCTAAAAAGAACACTCAAAGCAAGTTATATAAATGGTACAGAAATTAAATATCCTCGGGGAATCAGTAAAAGGAGAACAGATAATGAAGTTCACAAAATGGCAACATAAAGGCATAATCAACTCTACTGGCCACTTGAAGCTGGGTACCATAGGGGAGAACTTGTACTCAACACTTTTTTGTTTTGAGACACAAAGTGCCTGAGAAGATTTTCCCCCAGTTTTCTATAGGCAATATCAGTCAAAGTTGCTGCAAATTAAGAAGAATGTTTTAATATTGTCCTTAAGTTTAGATAATTTACACCGACACTGAATGGCTGATACTGGTCAGTGATTAGAGTAAGCACTAACTCAGGTATAAAAAGAGCTAAGAATTTTTCTTGTGAAAAAGTGGATGACATGTAGTGTGTAAATAATCAGAACAAATGCAACAATATTTTGGGGACCTTAGAGCATTTAAAACCTAACACATTACAAAAAGAGCTCAATACTGATAAATGTAAAATAATACATTATACGAAGCTTTATCATTCTGTAAGTTGGTGTGGATCATAAAATATGAGAAATAAAAAAATAGGGGAGTTGAAAGATAAGTGTGTGCACATTATGTATGAAGGATGGAGATTGAAATGAATGAGAAGAATGGATAGACAATGTCTTGAATAATGATGACTTTGATGAGTAGTTATCATACAAACCTGTGTGTGTCATAAAATATGAAAAATATTAAGAACCAGAAGAGTCAAAAGACAAGTCTCCTCAGAATGAGATACAGAATGAAGGAAGAGAGGAATCCAGGGAATTGCACAGAATAATGATAGCTTTTATAACTTTTCACTCACTGCCCTGGATCCTTCATAAATATAAGCTATATAGAAAATAAAAGTGCAACAAAAAACAAGGGACAGATCTGTGTCTGTCATAAAATATGAGACAATAATGCCAACCAGGCTTGACAAAATAAAAACAAAAATAATTGAGTCTAGTACAACTGTGGAAAGATACAATATCCAGATTAATGTGGGCAAATATAATGAGTGAGCCTAGAATTGTGTTACCTAAATAGAGTCAGCAAGCACTAGCTAGGCATTCACATGGCCATCACGACTGTCTATGACCCCAGTTCCAGAGGATCCAATGCCCTCTTTTGGCTTCCATAAACACTGTGCTCATCTGGTACACTTATATACATGTAGGCAAAATACTGATATACATAAGAATTATAAATCTTAAAATAAGCTGTTACTATAGGAATGAAGAGGTTTTGTTTATTTTCCTTAATGTTACATTGGGTTTAGAATCAGATTTGTCTGATTTGTCAATAGTAGTTTAAAATCTAGATCTCAAGGACTGTGGGTTTCTTCTATGTTATAACAAATAGGATTTTAACATGAGAATGGTTGAGAATCAGACACGGTATAGCAGGTGTTAGTGTTCAATTTACAGGTCAATGATCTGTATCGCAGAACTAGGAACATTGATTGGTCTGGCATCTCAGAATATACAAATATTCGGGTAGCACTAATTATACTATTTCCCTTTGTGTAATACTTAATGTCTTGTAAAACATGCTGCAGACTGTTCTTGGGGAACTCCAAATAAGTCCTATCAACTTGACTTAGAATTAGTTTCTCAAACTGCAATAGAATTTAGAAATGAGGTTTATTGTCTAAAGCAAGCTGAGGTTGCTACCTATCTTCTTCATCTGGAGATGCTTTGGTTGTGTAGTTTCTGTTCTCAAAGTCTCTTCTATTACTATTAGCTTTCAGGCACTTGCCTCGAGTGTTGATTATATTGAAAGAATATAAAATCCCAGGGTAAAGTTATTAAAGTTAATCAGAAAATCTTGGTCCAAAAATCAGGGCCCATCTCAATCTAAGATTTATCTTTCCAGCACACCATGAATCCTATGTAGTAAAGGAAAAAGAGACCATAATATTCAAGGCTTTAGCAAAATCATTGACATTATTATTTTTCCTTGACCTTGTCTGTTTGAACAACAAAACTCATAAACAAAGAGTTCAGAACTTCCAAAGCTAGAACTAGAATCTGATGAAAACTCTCCCCTCCTTATTACTCACACCTCCAACCAACAGCAGACCAAGGGAAAGTCCTAAATTTCAATCTATTCCATGACCCTAAATTAAGGTATATACTCCTAAAATGTGTTATAATTTTTCAGACAACTTTGAGCTGAAAAGCAATGGGCACTTTTATGACTGTATCCTTCAGAAACAGTCCTGTTTAGGAACTAGAATAAAATATCATTTTGACCAGAAAATGAAATTTATGTGTTTTAAAGGGAAGTATTCATAAGTGCTTTACTTAAATGAGAGAAGGAAAATATAATATCATTACAGAATACCGTATCTTCATTATAGGCTTCAAGTTCATCCAAGGTAGTGAGGAGAGGCTTCAGTAGATAAAGCACTTAGCATGCAAGCTGAGTTCAGGTCCACGGCATCCATGTAAAGCCAGACATCATAGCACACGTCTACAATTCCAGTGCCTCTATAACAAGAGGGCAGGTGAAGTTAGGGAAACCACAAGAGCTAGTAGGCCACATAATCTGATGCATACAGCAGCCAATAATTAGAGGTGCTGTCTCAAACAAGGTAGAAGGTGAAGGCCATTCCCCAAGATTATCCTTGCATCTCTATATGGAAGCATAACACACACCTACACCTACTAATGCACATTATATACACACACTGTGTCATCCATTTAACTTCACTTGCTTGGTTCTATTATCTAGACATAGTAGCTTGGCAGTGTGCATCATAAGCTTTAATATATTCATTCTTGTATGCATTGATGCATGGAAAATACACACAAAAACTGATACTGATGATTACATAAAATGGAAATCCCAGAAAGAAGAGGGATGTAGGTGGTCAATAGGAACTTCAATCATAGCTAGAAAGCATTTGTATATTAAATAAAGTCATTAATTTTAATTTTGACAAGCAATAAAGTAAAATTGCATAAATAGAGCACTCTCCAAAGGAGATAAGCTCAGTACAGAAAAAATTAAGAAACAGCATGTCTTCAAATAAAAGGTAAATTGAACAAGTAATGGAATATTGCTTTATGGATAAATTATGTAATAACAGAAATACATGTTCTCGATGTATCAGATAATACCAATAACATAATATTAACGTAAAATGTCAGAATTATGAATGATACCTAATATAATCTCAGTGTTGATGTGTAAAAAGCTTACTATCCACAAAATACTGTTAGTAGTTATTTCTGGTTGGTGAAATGACTGTTTTCTTCACTAGTCTTGAGTGTTTTCCGAAGTTGCTACAACTTGACATCTATATTCTTATTTTATCTTGCTTTTCTGATTCCCTTCGATCTTTTGTTGCAGGCGTGCCTGTGTAATTCGAGGCCAAGTGGTAGCTGTGGATGGAACCCCTCTTGTGAGAGTCAATGTCAGTTTCTTGCATCACAGTGATTATGGTTTTACCATCAGTCGGCAAGATGGAAGGTATGCCTTTTGCTTCTGTTCACTATAGGAGCAGAGTACTGACCTTTAGCCATAGGTAAAGCTACAGGAAGAGTAAGACCCATTTTCTTTTTCGCTATATCTAGAAAAGCAAATGGTGACATTTATTCCTTCTCTTTCCAATTTAGGACAAGCCAAATTTCTCCCATTACACTATTATTTTCAAGCCCTCCTGAAACACTGAGCATGTGGTCCCCTAATTCCATTTACAAATCTAACCTCAAATTTTAGGGACATGATGCCAATAATAAATGATGAAGTCTGGAATACATAGGCTGTTCTTTCCAAACATTTCAACTCTTTTAGAAATGGCCATGTAGAAAGATTTCCTCTAAAAGTTCGAAATCCCATCATGTTAATTAAGGGTTTCCCTGCTATTTGAAATGTAGTTGAGGGATAGCATGGTAGAATTGGCATGGGAAGGGCCTGCCTTTGATCCCTAGCATCACAAAAACAAAGCACCCTTCTGGGTCACCTATTTCCATAGTGACTCAACTGATTTGCTGGCAATCGTGGCCAACCCATGTATTGATATTGAGTTAATATCAAGAAACCAACCCTCTGACTTCTAATGATTTCTTAAGGTTCTCTGAGACCTGGGAAGCATGGCCTCAAAGTTAAGCCTTTTCACCCTGAGAAAGGATTTTCTCCCAAAAACATTTTTGTTGCTGTCACTTAGACAGACACTTGTTCAGAATCCTTGAGTCAATAGACCTATGTGTCCATCTTGAAGGTAGCTATTTATGACACTCAGGAACACTATAATAATAGTCTTGCGGTGCCCTAGTCTCCAGGTGGCTACCCTTAACATGTCCTACTCATAACAAACCACTTCGATACTCACAAAAGACCTGTTGGCTCAGAGCTTTATCACAGTGTGAGGGACTATCTTATTTCAAGAACCTACAATCAAACCTTATTAGTCCTGCCCACTTCAGAGATGCTAATTGCACAACCTGAGCTCTGCTGAATTTAGTTTTTGAACTGCCTGTCAAGAAAATGTGTGTAAAAATTAAAGGCCATAAAGAGAAGGTTTTTAACCTACTTAAGACAAGAAACTGGTTTCAGAGAGCTTAGAAATTATTTGTATGTAAATTACATTACTAAGCAGTCATCTAGTTATTATAACAAGCTTCACAAAGCTGTTAGGGAAACAATATTTCCTGTCAAATAGTCCATAATTAGAACTCTCTGTTACTTCAAGCGGACCTTTCTCTCATTTGGGTTGAATGACAGAATTTTGCACATTCACTCACCAGTAACTGATACATGAAACTACACTCTGTCATGCCATTATCCTGAATCATACATATTACTTGAGAAAAGAATTGTTTGACTTCTTATGACCTGTCATGGAGGTGTGATTGGGCTTCAGCTTGAGTCAATGCTTCATTTTATCTTTATAAAAGAATCTAAAAGAATTTTGATGTCTAAAATATCGAAAAGATTCTATTTCCAGATGACAGACAACATTATAGAGAATAATTTTTGTTGACATTTGTACACTTTGTGTTTAAAATGCCAAGACCCTCCTCTGATGAGCTTTCTGTGAAAAGTAGGTTTATGTAAATGAGAGATACTAGCAAGAGTCCCCTCTGGCAATGACATTCTTCTTGGGATTCATAAAGAGTGTATACATTCAAAATATGTACCCTAAATGCCATCCAGACTGTCCCATTAGCATTTCTCAGACTTAATGTGACTGTGATAAGATTTTCCTTTTATATGTCTGCTTGTTGCTACCTCAGACTAAGAACATTTCTAAAGTACAGTATCATATGTAAAATACATCCAAAAATAAAGATTATAGAAAAGTTGATATATCATGTTGATACCAAGTAAACAAAGTGTGAGGTACAAGATTCTGGGAAGACCCTATGTCTCCATATATCAGTCCTACAAATCTACTGCAGTGCTCGCAGATCCTTCCAGCAGCATCCCTATCTTGGGGAACTCACTTCTGCAAGCTTATGTCAAATAACATTTCTATGTGGACTACAGATTGCCTCCATTATTAACAAATTTCAAATTGACAAAACCTTTCCTAGAGACATGGAGAAGATCCAGGATATGAGACAAAAGCAAAAGGAGGAATGATGATAGAAGACTGAGACCTCTGTCTAGACACTCAGATGGAAGTCTATATACTCATCTAGAAAAGGACAAGAGTAGCAGAAAATAAAAGTCAAGTCTAAAGAAAGCACGAATTTGCATTAGAGTTTCCTGTATGCCAAATACGTTTATTAATGTCATTATCTTGCTCTTCATAATAGCCCCTATGGGTTATTATATCTACTATTTATATCTTCTCCTTTGGGCAAAAGGCAAAATTTACTGAGATTAACACAGGTGGTGAGGATAGAGCCCAAGATTTCAACTCAGTCTATCTTGTTCTTTCAATGATTTACCACCTTCAGTATAGAAATGGAACTCATACTCAATACAGAGCTGAAATAACTTTTACAAATAGGTACCTGAGAAACATTAGATGTTTCAGGAACCTTCTGTCAAGGTTGGAGGATAAAGGCATTTCCCTCTGATCCACCCTGATTGATGGATATCATAAGACATCATATAGGTCTCGATAATTTTCCACCTATGAACAGGACTGGTTTGACATCTTATAGATTGATGAAAATCTGCAAACAACCATTCGTGGGGCTTTTACACTTACTGTCATATAACATAAAAACATTCTTAGTAATATGTAAGTGGAGGGGATTTTGGATAAGAAAAATGTCAGAGAATAAGTTATTCTGAGGGAATTCTGCTTGGCATTGCAAAGGTTGACGTTAATTTTAAGGCATAGATCTGCCTTCTGCTTCCATGTCAATGAGTAAGCCAGACAATATTTCCTTTGTACAGCCAGGTGGGAAGAAGGGAAAGGAGAGTCAATACTCTCCAAGAAAATAGAGAAAACAGAATATTTATATGTTAAGTGTAGAGAAATCTAACTTAATTTTTATATATGTATATATATATGTTTTATTTCTGGAAAAAAAAATATATATATACATGTCTTTGTTTTATTTCCAGAAATAATGCATTCAATTATAACAGTAGCTATAAATATATAACTACAGCTCATGGAGATATAAAAATCAGCCCAAGCAGAGTTTAATATAATAGAGATGATAGAGTTAAAACTCAAACTCCATATATATATTGAGAGATATATATATTTGAACTGATTTCAAGAATTGGACTTATTGTGGAGTCTGCTCATCTAATATCTATAAAGCAAGTTGATCCACTGAAAACTTAAAACAACTTGCGCAGGACCTGAAGAAGCTTCACTTAGTTTGGTTCTAAGTCATGAAATGGTTGACTAGGACCCACTCACATCATCAAGGAAATCTCTATTACTTAATGACAAGTGGTTGTAGAAATTAACCTTATCAGCAAAATATCCCCATACCAAAATATCTCCCCCAATATTTAAGATTTATATTTGGTTGAGTAACCAAGTTTCATAGCTTAACCAAGTTGAAACAAATACCATAAGAAGCCTAGAGGAAGATTTGAGAAGAACTCAAAAGGCAGTGACTCTTCCTGAAAGTAATCAAAAGCTAGCCTACAAGTTATTTGAATTGCAACCAAAAATGTGTAGAAAATTTAGTAGGAGAATACATCTAATTTGAGGACAACACTAACATGTGCTGATTCCTAGCTATGTACTCGACACTTAAGTGTCTTAGTTGCGGCAGTAGCTGTAAACATAAATTTATTAGATCCATTATGAATAATATATAACTACAGTTCATGGAGATTTAAAAAAATAACTCAGACACAAAGTTAATATGATAGAGAAGAGACCTAAACTGAGATGTATTTAAAATCAAACTCATTCTTCCCACAAAAAAAGTGGCTGCTCTCTTTGCTTACCCTTTGTAGAAACACAATATTTCCTAGATAGCTATGTTATTACTTGGAAAATCTACCTTTTGGGTCTTTATATTTGTTATAGTTATTGTTTGTTTTTTTCAATAAATAAGCACTCTAGACATAAGGAGTTAAGGCTTAATGTTTGTACAAATCAAGTGCATTTGGCAAAGGACACGAGGTCAAGTCTACGTACAGGGTGATCAAAAGGAAAGATTTCCTGACAAACAGTATTAGACTTTCCCCCATGACATTTGTCTTAAACTGCTTCTATGTTATCATGAATTCACCCTCTCTGTCTAAAGTACAAGCTGTTTGGATTTTCTTCTTAAATTCACATCAAGATTATTTCCTAACTTGGTTCTTAAATTCTCATTTGGGAATTTGTTTTAATATTACTGCTACTTTACTTAAATAGCAACAATAAAAACATGATATTATCCATCCTTGGCTACTAGTCATTTTCTTTACCTGGAAAATTTCTTCAACAAGAGATAAATGGTAATACTTGACTTACCCTAATAAATGTCACATAAAGGAAGTGGTAAGATGTCCATAATTTAGTCAGTTTCCCTATCAGGTTTTTTAGCATTGAAGAAGTGTTTTTACTGAAAGACCTTTTCTAATGTAAGGAGATGCTTATATTGTTCCCTTATGTACTTGCAGTGCTTTGACTATTAAGGAGAATCATATTATCTTTTATCCATTTTTAAGATATAATGATAATGATTCATCATTTTGTTACTTTTTATCATATTCCACCTTTTTGAGTGCTTTCAAGTACATTACCTCAAAGACATCATTATACTTAAAAAAGAAGTGAGGTGAAACCATCAGTGCAGAATGAAATGAAATCTGAGGCTTTTATGCTCTGACAAAATAGTCTTGTCAGGGACCACTTCTGTTGCGGGACATAGTTGGTTTACAGAAGAGAGACTTCTTTTGTTCAGAGATACAGAAGAGCTGGAGGCAGAGTTGAGCAGGATAAGTTACCAATTGTCTTACAATAAGAAGTCAGAATCAGAAATCCTAAATATGGAATTCAGGCACAATCAGGAGCAGGAGATGGTTGTCAGATGCAGGAGGTTCATGCATGGTTTAGTTCAAATTTCCCTGAACACTTTTCCTGTGCTGGTATGTTTCTCCCAAAATTGTCTTAGAGACACTAATTTCTGACACTATATTTGTATCCCCGAAAAAGACATTTAACCTTTAGCTCTTTCCTTTTATACATATGTCTAAAGAATATATGTTTGCACATATTTGTAAATATATCTATATACTATATATAGTTACTTATAAAATTTTCAGGATGAATATGCATATTTGAAATACTGCAAAATTTAGCTAGTCATCCTTATATGTTCCTTAACACAAGTGAAAGCAGTAATTTCAGATTTGGATTTATAAGAAAAGCTTACAATTATTTAGTTTAAGACAATATTAAATTGGATTTTTAAGTCTGGTGAATATCAACTACTGATACAAAATCCCATATCAAATATCTACTGAGTGATAAAAAGAAATCATCCATGAAATGAACAGCAAGTGAATAGAGATTTATAAAACAGAAAATAAAAGTGGAAATAATTTTCCAAAAGTAAGAAATAAAGCTATAATTGAACTATTTTTTATTTTAAAATTTGTTATATTTGAACTTCTCATATATTCATCGTGTTTCTCCTAATTTTTCTCCTCCTTCCCCTCCTCCTCTTTTTCCTTCTCTTCCTGCTTTTGGTTCTTCTTAGCTTTGACCTCGTAGCCATTGGTGGTATCTCTGTTGTCTTACTTTTTGACCGATCGCCTTTCTTGTCTGAAAAGAGAACACTCTGGTTGCCTTGGAATCAGTTTATTGTGGTGGAGAAAGTAATCATGCAGAGAATTACTGCAGACTCACCATCCTGCGATATTTCCAACTTCATCAGCCCAAACCCTATTGTGCTTCCTTCGCCACTTACATCATTTGGAGGGTCCTGTCCAGAAAGGGGAACTATTGTCCCTGAACTACAGGTAGGTATATTGGGCTTCAAAAGTATAAAGTTATAGTCATTAGTATGTTTAGCAATGTATTATGGCTATTTTTTTCTGTCATTCTCACTGTTCCTAAAATATGGGTCTCTTGATTTTTTTAAAAGAAGCATTTGAATGAAGTCTTTCTAATACATTATTGGCAAGGATATTAGTGCAGTATCTGTGGCCTGGAAATAGCAAGATGAACTAGCTGTCAAGAGAAATGGTCAACTTTGACCTAATTAATACAGTGCCCTAAAAAACATGGTGAGCTGGCTTAATAGTGATAGCAGTATAATCGATGATCTTGAAGTGTTTGTGGTTCTAAAATTGAAGCTTCTTTAAAAATCTGCTTTTCTTCCATTGTGCGGGTTGTATTTATTGTTGTTGTTCTCAGAAGTCATGGAAGTTCTTGTTTAGCTGTATTTAGTAAAGGTGGTTTTCTAGCCTGGAGTGGGTATGCTTTGTACAAAATTGCTTCTAAGTATTTGAGTTTTAGAGTGTAGATTTCCAGAGAATTATTATTTATCGCAATTCAGTTTTAAGCCACTCCAACAGTCATAATACCATTCCTAGACGATATTATAGAAACATTCTAATGCTATTTAAAAGTGGATGCCAAATAAATGGATATATAAGTCGTACAGATCCAAAACTCAAGAAGTGTACTCCTAAAAGAGTTTAATGGACACTCCAAGATTGAATTAACTTTTATTACATCACAACAGCCTCAAAAGCTCTCAGAATCCTCTACTAAAGACGCCCCACACAAAGATAACCGTCTCTGGGAAAAGCAACACAAAGTGTTGGCTGTCTTGGCTATTCTAACACTTTTCCTTAGGAAATAAGAAAAACAGGAAAGTAATGAGTATATCTAACTGGCATACTAATTCTTCCACAAAGAAAAAACAAAGGTTTTCAAAAATAGAATTATGTATTTCCTTATGCAAATAAATACTAAGGTAACAAATGTGTTAACTACAGTTTAAAGAATTTACAAAGCCAGTGGACAATTTTAATGTGAGACATATAATGTAGAGGAAATAATGCTGTACAAAGAATATAGAAGAGGGACTGAAGGAATGACTTGCAGTTCAGTACACTTGTTATTCCTCTTGAGGATTCAAGTCTGATTTCCAGCACCTAGACTTGGTAGCTCACAATTGTTTATAACCCCAGCTTCATAGGATGGGATGTCCTCTTCTGGCCCCCCATGGGTACCTGCACTCACATGTACATACACAGACACATAGACAGACACACACATACACACACATCATTAAAAATAAGACAAATTTTAAAGGCTTTACAAGAGAGAATAGGTCATTGGAAAAGTATGTGTTGCTTTGTGTTTAACAATCTATTCTGTGGACTTTACATGCAAATATGAAGAAGCTGAAGGATAAAAAGTACTTTGTTAATAATAAAACAGGACACAAACAATATTTACGTGTACCACATCATCTTAAATTTACTGAATAATATGGACGCTTCAGCTATTCTGTTTTGAAAGATGAAAATGATGGAATAGAAGATTCAATTTTAGTTACCAGTTTTTGACATTTATTTCTATCTATAGTAATAAACAAATAAGTAATAGCAGTTAATTTACAATGCCAAATGGCATTTTCACTCTGAAACCAATGTTTACTACAAGATTTACAGAGGAATTAGTGGGAATTTTCTTTTCTGTCATTGGTGCCAAGTTAGAGAAACTTATACCCAGCCATTTGTACATACAGTCACAAAGAAAAATGTGAAAAAAAACTGTGATTAAAAATTTGACCCCCAGATCATTCCAAAGCTCCAATGTAAACAAACATAATGGTTTCAATAAAGATTAATTCCAGGGATCCCATAATCTTTGTCATTAAATATCACTTGCTGAACCTGCTTCTGCAATCCTTCCTCTTAGGATACCCATCCTAAATAGGCAATTGATTTGAGATATGTGAACCAAGTAAGGATGTGTGTTTGTGTGTGTGTGTGTGTGTGTGTGTGTGTGTGTGTGTGTGTGTGTTTATATAAGTAGACGACCCCTTAATAGAACTCAGAGCATGGAATTACTTGACATTCAGCAGTGTGATCTTTCCCAACCTTTGCTAAGCAAATTTTGGAACACTGATGAAAGAATAAAATTGTTCTTTTACAGTCATGCCTGGCAGTAGAAGATGAGAGCAATCTGTAGCATTGGCTGTATTTCTCATTCTTATTCAGATTTGATGGAAAATTAAAATTTTGGTCACCCAGTCTCCTAAAAATCTGGAAATACATGACTTGGCATCAGTAGATCCCAGTATTCACTGGCCTTTAGTCTGGTTCACAGACAGCAAAGCATATGTTAGCTTCCTCTACCTGTGGCCACTGGAAAGCTAATTTTTGTTTTGTTTTGTGTATTTCAATTTTAGGTTGTACAGGAGGAAATCCCAATTCCTTCTAGCTTTGTGAGGCTGAGTTACCTGAGCAGTCGAACACCTGGGTATAAAACTTTGCTACGGATCATTTTGACACATTCAACGATTCCCGTGGGCATGATTAAAGTACACCTCACAGTAGCTGTGGAAGGGCGACTCACACAGAAGTGGTTTCCTGCTGCAATTAATCTTGTCTACACATTTGCTTGGAATAAGACAGACATCTATGGACAGAAGGTTTGGAGCCTGACAGAAGCTTTGGGTATGTTGAAATATTTCTGTTTAAATAGCAGTATTTTGCTTACAAAACAGAACATACTAGATATGCTTTAATTTGATTTGGAATATTAAATGAATTTTCTTCCAGTTAAGAAATATTAGGTATTCTTTTTCATGTAAATACATACTTTGGACCTGCTTGGAATTCCACTTTGATATATTGTTGCTTAAAAATTATTTTAGTTTCATGATAGCAACATACCACAGGAATCACACAATATCGAATTTATCTTATAACTGTCTCCAGAACTGAATGTTGCCTTATAACGGTGACCTTTGGTGTGGTGTTCTGCAAACCTTGTTTTTGAATTTGACATTTAGACTGTCATTTCCACTTAGAAACTACAAAATTCTAACATATAGGCATCTCTACTTGTTATCATTTATGTCTAAGATGGTTATACTCCATTAACTTATTGCTTCAGTAGGTTAAATAAAGAAACACCATCCTGATTTCCTATTTCTTTTGATTTTCTCTAATCTTGACAGAGAATGTTACCATACAGACTAGAAATCTAGGGACAGATTGGAAGCTGACTCTCTAGAGGAGCTGTTTTCACATCCTTCCTTGGAAGTGCTTGCTGTGATATGACCCCACATAGCTAAGCAATACATTTCAGACTATAGCATATCAAATTTTTCTCCTTTTTCCAAAGGAAAATGAAAAGATCTGGTGTCTTTTCTCTGCCTAGTTAAAATTCAAATATTTGACTAACAATTTAATCTATGTTAGACTTTATTAGAAAACAAGGAGCATGGGCAGGTTTGGATTACCTCAGTCCCTTCAACAAGATTTCACTGCTTCCCCCAACAGGGACTGGATCTTACTTATCAGTGAGTGTACCCCTACTGCTATACTAATGATGCTCCCTTTCTCTCGTGTATCCAACTACTATTCTGATGACTTTATTTATCTTGCATTCAGATTCCTATTCGAAAGAATATCAATGTACATAAGTCAATGTACAGCATAGAAAAACTGCAATGCCAAAACTCTACCAGCAAGCTAATTTCCACTACACTTCTGGTCAGCCAATGTTCATTCTTTCTTGAGTATAGCAGTTATAAGAAAGTTCTAGAGCCAAACTCCTTCTCTAGGTTCAGTCTATTTTCCTAGTGAGTAGCCAGCTGTCTCCAAGCCCTCTCTGATCTCTTCATCATCATTCTCTCCCTTGCCCCTATAAGACAAGAAGACTTCCCAGTACTGTCCATTACTGCCAGTCTGATTGTTTTCCACTACTAGTTTTTTCTTTAGCTTTGCCCATACTGTCATTCAATCTCCTAGTAAGCACTGCCTGAGTCCTTCTGTGACCATGACTGATATATACTCAAAGCCCCATAATTGGCGACTCCAGATACTAGCGTGTTTTGCTAGTCAGAACAACCCAAAATTTCTTACATTTCTCTATAGCTTTTATTTTCCAGTTATTTATGAACCTCCTTAGACCCCTCCTGAATGTAAAGGTTAGCTTAGTTGTTGGTGTTGCCATTAACTGTTATTTTCTTAAGCTGCAACATGCACAAATTTATCCAACATCCTGATGAAGAGCTAACTATTATGATTTCTATTATTTCCTCACAAGATTTATGTACATGAAGCTCAACCTGATTTCAGAAAAATAACAGCTTTGTTGGGACATAATTTACATATCTAATAAAACCTTCCCTACATTTATAGAAGGCAATTTGCACAGTTCAAAATGTTCTGCAGCCATCACCAATATCTAAATCCAGATCATTTTTGTCATTACCCCCCACAAAGCCGCTCAACATATTAGCAGTTGTCTTTCCATCTCTCTCTTCTCTGGCCCTGGAATCTGTTGATCTCCTTTTTGTCTTCTTATGCTCCCCTAATTTGTATTTTTCAAACTGATAACACCATACAATAAGTGGTCTTTTGAGTTTGACTTCTTTCACTTGGCCTAACATTACCAGTGCTCATCCATGTAATCACATATAGCTGTGCTTCCTTCCATTTTTTGTGACTGATTAATATTCTATTATAGGCATACACCATACATGTTTGTCCTTTTATTAACTCAAGGACATTGGCACTGTTTTCACTTTCTGTCCTTTGAGTAGTGTTCCTATAAATCTTTGTGTAGAGGTATTTATTTCAATACATGATTTTAATTCTTTTGCATATATACATAGATTTCTGGACAGTGTGCATACTGTGTTTAAATTACCAAGAAACCACCTAACTATTTTCTTCAGTGACTGCACAATTTGTTTGCACGTGTATGAATATGTGCTGGTATACGTGGATACGAATGTATATGGAGGTTGATGTCAAGGATCTTCCTCAATAACTCCTTGTCTATTGTTTTTGAGATAGTATGTATCAATCAAACTAGAATGCACTGATCTGGCTAGTTCACCTATCTAGCAAGCCCCAGGGATCCTCCTGTCTCTGCTTCCCAGCATTGTGATTATAGCACCAGACTTTTCATGTAGAGTTACAGGATTGAACTCGGGTCCTTGTGCATGCATAGTAAGCATTTTACTGACTGAAGTATCACGCTAGCTTCTGACTGCACCATATACTAAACCTCAGTTTATACATGAATTGCATCTCTTTAAATATCTCCATCGATAAATATTCTAAGCCTTCTTTTTTCTCCTTAATCATCCTCAATGAGGGATTTACTAATACACTTACCTTTAATTAAGGAAACATGTAAACCACATATATAAACAAAAAATGTGTAGATTATGATGTTGACGTTTTCATTCCTATTGTTCACCTGTTTGTCATTCTGACTGCAAAACAGCATTAATTAAAATGCTATCTGGGAGATTTTGGAAGTACTAAAGGGAAGGGCAGATATTTGTAAATGTAATCTCAATTTTTAAGTAAAATAGTATTAATAAATGTTATTCGTTTTTTCTAATGCTAGTGACAGTAATAAAAGCTATGGGTAATGAAATGTCTTGAAAATACCCAAAGTGTAAAACAAGACAAAGGTTATTTATACACTTAAGGGAAAACTTTCAGAATGGAGCAAGGAAACTGGCAAAGCTCCCTAAGAAAAAGCCTAAATAATGGCACAAATAGTAACTAAGCTAGAATATAGATTATTTGCCTTGTAGGCAATGTCCCTGTTAGCCATGATTTAAGGGTCTGGTGGCTAAAGAGACTTTATTTACTACATATCCTTTAGCACCATCCCTTTTTTCTTAGCTTGAGAAAGAAAACAGGTGCTTGGTTATTTCAGTGTTCACCACATTTGAACCCGTTTTAAAAGCATTTGGTTTGTAAAAAAGAATAGTCAAAAAGGAAAAAGAAAACATCAATCTTTATTGAAGGAAAAGTCTAGTTTATCTTATATTTATAGATTTCATCTATAATCTATGTTGGCATATATCTATAGATTAAGTATATTCATGCCTTATCCTAGCCTGTTATTTGTGTTTTCTTTTCCTTACAATAATTTCAATATGTTTAATGAAAATATAATTTGATCACTTTCACTCCTCTCTTTCCTTCTTCTAGTCCCTCCTAGCTACCCATTCTCAAACCCCTTCCATGCCGCCCACTCTCAAGTTAATAGCCTCCTTTTCTTTAATTACTAGTGTGCAATCAAACAATACAAGTAAATACAATTTTCTCCCTCAATCTTTTCTGTTTGTGTGTATATGGTTTCAGGGCTGACCACTCTGCATTGGACAACCAATGCGGGGGGGGGGGGGGGGGGCGGGGATCTTATCCCTAGAACAAGTAAATTCTTCTTCCATCATAGAAAATGAGATAATTTTCTAAGAATGGTAAGGCAACTGAATAAATGATATAATAAAATTGGAGAGTCAACTACTCTGAAGGATTGTGAACCCCTAAAGAATACACCAAAAACTTGAAGAGATAAATGTATGGAGGCATTTTTATTAAATGTGTGATTATTGAGATTCTATGTCCACATCTAGAATATACTCTGCACATTTACTTGCAAACATGGCAGTATTTTATAATTACTGTACTACTATGAGTGTAAATAGACAAAGTTTCCCATCAAATAATTACAACGGTGTTCATATACGGCATTGCTCAGTTTGCTTTTAAACTCAAAGTGCTTAATTGTAGCTATTTGGTAACATAAATATAACCACCCCTCTATAAAATGTCCACCTGTCACTTCTAAGTATATTATGCTGCATGACAAAAGAGAATTAAGATTACAAACAAATTTTAGTTTGTCAATTAGTTTTGAATATATGATTAGATATTGCCCTACTTTGTCTAGACCACATAATATCAGAAAGCTCTTGAAAGTGAAGAGAAAGATGAAGAGGTTAGAGTTATAGAAAGGTATAACTATGCAATAATGACATCAACAGATAAGCAGTGTCTATTTTGAAGAAGGGGTATGGAAATCACAAAATAAGGAATATGACTGGCCACTAGGAGATAGCTGGGAAAGACAGATATGGTATGTACCCTTAAAGTCTGTAGATGTTAGTTCAGTTCGGCTAACATCTTGGATTTTGTTCATTGGGACCCATTTTAGACTCATGACTACTTCAACTATAAAATGACAAATTTATTTTATTTGAATTCTTTTAGCATGTGACACTTTTTCACAGTAGCAATAGGAAATTGATATAAGCCTTTCCATCATTCATAATGTTCTACTTATACCGAGGATTTTGATTAAGGCCAAGAAGGACTCAACTCTTGTTCCTTCTCGTACCAATTAACTGTCAATCTATGGCCCACTGATTTCAGGATGATGGACTAAGAGGAGTCCAAATTTAAATAAGATGAATTTGAAGTGATGGAGACTATCTAGGTTGAAATGCTGCTTAGTTTGAAATGTGGCAATCTTGCTTGGCACGTGGCTCAGCTGTGGGGATTTGGTATGATATCTAAGGGCCAGAATGTCACAAAAGAAGAATAAACTATTGAAAGACAACCAAAATGGAAAGGGCAGTGTTTAAAATCCTAGGCTATCCCACCATTTTCCACAATGAAACAGACTTTGCAGC